ATTGTTTTAAGCGATTCTATTAAAAAGTGTCTGGCAGGGCTGTGTGCAGAATGCTTATGCAGGGAGACCAGGAGCCTCTGAGGAAGAGGAGGGAGCGGTTGCTAATGAGGAGCCTTTTCAACATTCCCTGGGACCCTTGAAACCCAGCCCACCCTCCTCAGCTTCCCCTCCTCTTGCTTCTTTCTCAAAGGAAGATCAACATGGAGAGGCGGACGAAGAGCAGAGGAGAGACAGGCCAGGGGGCCAGACGGGCAGCCCACTTATGCCACCAAAGCAGGGTGGGGGCCGAGGGCTCACCAGGGACCGGAGCGGCTGGGTCAGGAGCCTCAGCCGGGCCCTGTGGCCCTGCAATCTGCTCTCTGTGTGGCAGCCACCCCTTGGGCAGCGCCTGGGTGGTGGAGGCGAGCCTTTTCTGCAGGGGGGAGGACAGGGCTGCAGGGCCCAGTGGCCAAAGGAGATGGAGAGTGCAGCTTTCAAAGGCAGCTGCTGGGAGTCATTCATGGGCTCCGATGGGAGAGATTCATCACAATCATTTCCACCCCAGAGTGGAAAAAAGCAGGTCCTCCAGGCAGCCACCAGGGGGGGGGGGCAGGGAGCACTTACATTTTGGGGGGGGGGTATCTTGATGTGAGCTTGGGCCAGGGTTGACCACATCTCTGATACCCTCTCCCCCCACCCCCAGGGAGACCTTCCTGGTGGTGAGGATCAATTGCAGAAGGGAGCCTGGCACCCTCTGGCTGGGTAAGGGGACAAGGAACTCAGCCAGAGGGTGCAGCTCAGGTGGCTCCAGGAGGGAGGTTGCGGCAGGAGCCCCCCCCCCCCACCACCCTTAGTTTGCTTAATTGGCCCCCTCCCCTCCCCATTGCTGCAATCCCCAAAGTTCTCACCTCACGAGGTCCAACATGGAACTCTCTAAACAGTCCTTCCATGAGGTGGGGAGAGGACCTGTTCCCCTCCTCTTGGAAGTGGGGCCTGCCTCACTGATGTGGCAGGAGAGTCTGCCTGGGAGCCTTTGAGGAGGTCAGCTAATGGCACTCCTTATCTCCTCTGTATCCCATCCTGGCCTGGCCTCTGCCTCGGGCTTTTGGTCTCCAAAGAGTTGAGTCCTGTTTCCAAATGAAACAAAATAGGGGGGGGGAAACAGCCCCCCTGGGAAAGGGATGGCGATGGGCGTGCCAAGGAGGCCGCAGGAGAGTTATTCAGAAACAGCAGGAGGCTCAATTCCCCCACCCCCAATTCCTAACCTGAGGGGGAATAAAAGCAAAAGCAGCCAAGCTTGACAGGAGAGAAACAAGAGCCAGAGGTGGGAGTGGGGGGGGGACGGGGTGGGGGGGGCTGAAGTGGCCCACAGGACCTGGGCAACCATGGGAGTCTGAACCATCCCCCTGCTGTCCACACCAGACGGGTGCTGGCTTGCTTAGCTCTCCCTCCGGGGTCTTTGCTGTTGCTTTGTAGTAGAGAAGCATGAAAAGCAAAAGGCTTCATTTGCCACATGCCAGTTTGCCAAATAAACTAGTTACATTATGTGTGGACATTGGCACGACCACCATTTAACTTAAAAGATTAGCAGGTGAAGGTGTTAAATCCCCAAATGCATTCAGATGGGGTTTTTTCTTTCTGTTTGGACTCAAGCTAGGGCAGGGTAAATGAGAGAATTTGTCTTGCCGTCACTTCGATCTATATTTCACCAAAGTTTGTTTTCACTCTCTCTCTTTATCACAATTAAAATCCCAAGGAGGAGGCCTGTTATAAATCAAAGTTCTGTTCATGTGTCCCACATAACTGTGTCTGTTGCTGCCTTTGCACCAGTAAGAAAATAAACACAACCCCCTTTGGCTACATGAGTAGAAATAAGCAATTTAGGATCTTAAAAGATAAAAGATAATAAAAGTAATTAAGATAATTAACCATCCTGAAGAAAGAAGAATTTAGGGCTGTAAATTTGGTCCTTGAGCTGAGACGCCATTCTGCAGCTGCCACTCAAGGCAGAGACGATGCCTTGAGCCAAAGGGGGAACAAAAGGCCTGACATTCCCCATCAGACCCAGCCGTGCCTCCCAGCGGAGGCTTCCTTGGACCGCAGAGCAGAGGGCTCCTCGCTGGCGGCTTGGTCGGCCACCTCTGGCACCTGGTGTAGCCTCAGAATGAATCAGCCCATTTCAGACAGCTGCCTCTTGTGGCTGCCAGAGAAACCTGACCACACCCCAAGTTGGTGCTGTGTGTGCCGGGGAGGGGGATCTGTGTGCCCAGCAAAACATCTGGCTGGCTGGGACATCTGTCACTTCTTCACCCACCCATGTTTCAGAGGACTTCCAGGGAGTTGCAGGGATCCAAATAACACTCAGGGGGAAATATTACATGAAACTGAGACAAAATGTCAGCAGGGTCTCGAAAAGGCAGAGCAAGGAAGGCTGCAAAAAGTTTTCTTAGCTTTCTCTTTGTAGAAAGTGAGATGTAGAAATAAATCTCCCAAATGCCAACACTGGTTGTTTTGAAGCAGCTGTGCCTGAGGAGGTTGCCCACCGCCTCCTTATAGCCCACTGGGCAAGCCCAGTGGCTGGGAACAAAGAAGGGGCTGAGAGCCAAGCCCCGCTCCGTGGCTCCAGCAACCAGCTATTCAACATGGGCGGAAGCTGACAAGGGCAGCCCAGAATTCCCCACACCTCTGCCTTCTTGGGTTTCTGCTCCAGAGAGACCAAAGAGGCCACCGAAGCCCAGGGTTGAGGGTTGGGGGAAGGCTGAAGCCCCATGCATTTTGCTCCGTGGGGGTGAGTGAGTGGGCAGGGCTTGCAAATGAAATCCAGAAGGCTCCCAGCCAAGGGCCTTTGTCTATTCAGGCACAAAGGCTCGCCTTCCCGGGCCCTCCCCCAGCTGCCTTTTCAGATGCAGGAGGGCCCCTCGGAACAGCAGAAAGAGGTGCTGAACTCCTGCCAAGGGGGGAGGGAGAGAGGGAGGGGGGCAAGGTTGCTCTCTATCCCAGAGAAGCCAGCCCTGCCTGTGCATGGGAACACCACCAAAGACTCATGGCGGGGAAGGAGCAGCTCTGGCTGCCAGTCAGAGGCTCGGAGTGCCATGACCTGCCAATCAATGTGGACAGGAATGTGGGGGTCCGGGAAGCCATTGCCACGAGGGCCCCAGCAGAGCACAGGGACTCCAAGGCGGCCATGGTAGTCCTTCAATCTGAGCAGCGCTTTTCTGCAGGGCCTCAGCCGACTAGGGATCTGATCTCTGGAGGAATAGAGAAATTGCGGATGGGGGAGCGATCCTTCTGCTGAGCCTTCAGCCCAGAAAAAGGCCTGCCCAGAGACTCAGCCACTCTGCAAGCTGTGCTCTTTCCCCGTCCCGGCTTTGCACTTCTCCTGGCTGCTCTGGAAAAAGGGGTGGGTGGGTGTAATGGGTATGGATGCCGCCCCTGCAGGCAGGGAGCTCTGCAGAGCCTCTCCTTTGGACTGACCTCCAAGGGTGGCATAGAGACGGGTGTTCAGGATAGGGGGAGAAAGGGGGACTTGGGCCAATGCTTCAGGCTGACACAAACTGAGTGGTTCTGCAAAAGGAAAAGCGCCCCTCCTTTTTGTCTGAAGAGTTCCTTGGAAAGCTTCCTGTGAAGAGAAAACCTCCATTCCTCTCTCCCCCCTCCCCCCCCCCCCCCCCCCCCCCCCCCCGTGAGCACATTTTTGCTCAAAGCTGTCATTTCATCTGGCTGCTTATCCCAGGAGGGATTTCCTTTTGCTGTCTGGCCTCCCTGTGCAATCCCACAGTACGCCACATCCCATTCAATGGCCTCCAACACCGAGAACCCTGGGAGAAGCCCAAGAAGCAGCCCAGGGCTCCCAGGACTGCCAGGCTCCATCGATCCTCAGCTTGGGAAGGGAGAAGCACCAACAGCACACAGAGGCAGAGCTGGGGCCGCCAGCTGTTGAATGGGTGTTGCAAAGCGCAAGGCTGGGCGTGCACACACAAAGGCCTGGGAGAGGCCTCCTCCCGCTCTCTCTCTCTCACGGCACCCTTGGCTGGGCCTCCCATTGGGCGTGCTCAGGAAACATCCTCAACAAAGGCAGCCCCCCAGGGAAAGGTTCCCCAGCGTCTTGCACCCTGAGAAAAGCAGGGACGAAACCAAGAAAAGGTTGGGGCAGAAGAAGCTTGGAGGATGGTACTACACCCCCCCCTCAGCCCTTGGCACAGGCGCAATTGAAAGAGGCCACATCCCTCCTTGCTGCTGACAGCCACCCCGAATGACGGAGTCAGACGTCCATCCTGGACCAGAGCCTTGGCCCATGGCACCTTGGGCACTGACCCGGGCCCTCAGGACATCTCTCTCTGCTTGAAGCAGACGGCAGAGGGGGGGCTGAGGGAATCCAACCTCGCACCATTTCCTTGAGGTGTTGGTATCATCATTTAGTGAAAAGTGATTTGCACTCCTTAATTTTTACTGCAGAATAGTAGCAATGCACTATATTAAAACTTAACTAGAAAGCCTGGGGAACAGCGCTGAAAGAGGGCTGGACCTCCACCAGAGAGTGCAGTCTGAAGGGCAGCATGGGGAAAAGCTGAAGGAGCTCAGGGCCTGGACTGACCCTCGGGGGTAAAAGCAACCTGAGGGAGAGAGTCACTCCCAGTGCTGTCTGCGCACATTCAATTCACCTGCTGAGATATTGGGATAACAGGCACGTCAGCAAAGTGTTTCTATGGTCTTTTTCTTCCTGGGATTTGGCTGATCTTGGATCATGAGAAGGGCTTATTGCTATTATTGTTCCAGTGATTAATGTGGCCCATGCATGGAAATAGACACAATTGCCCTGCTGGAAGAGGGTCTGTGTGTGCCATGCTCTCCCTTCCCACCAAGTCTCTTCCTTGGCCTGTGGGGTTTTGCATTCACAGCACCTATTTCAGACAAGTTGTTGGTGCTTTTTTTCCTGGGCTTCCTAAGATTGTTGGAAGGGTAAATAACCAGCCTGCTGACATTGCTTCTATTTAAATAAATGACACACTGCGCACGTACATCGTTTGCATAAAACAATATTCAAGTAGGGTGATTTTAATGTTCTCTGCTATTTCTGACTCTCGCTGGATTGCTGTTTGCATATATTTGCATACCCTCAGAGAATTAAGCTCAGAGTATGCAAATGCACTTACAGGCTTTCTGGCTCTTCTCCCCCCACCCCACAAAAGCGGTTTATCCCCTCAATCTTCCCTCCCCCTTCAGCTTCAGGTTTTGGCACCCAGATCAGCAGAGGGGGGGGGATGGACAGGGAGGGAGAGTGCCGGACCAGCAATTGTGCTCTTGGAGAGGCCCAGGGCCAGGCAGCTTCCGCCTCCTCCGAGAACACAGCTAGAAACCAGTGCCCACCCTCACCCACATCGGGGCTGCCTCTTCACACATAGCTTCTCTTCCTAGAACTGGGTGCCAGCCGCTAATGCACTCACAAAGCAGCACCCTAGACCCTACCCAAGCCAAGTGATGCAGCAAGGAGCAAATCCTGGGGTCTGGCCCTGAACCCAGCCCTGAGAACGCAGGGGCCACTGGTGCCCATCTGGAGAGTGGCCAGGTCTGCCTACCCACTTGGCTTCCATCTTTGAAAAGAAGCCTTCAGTCACCCTCCGAGCTGTGCAGGCAGGGCTACAATCGCACCCTGATTGCCCTTCAAACTCAATGTTACAACAACAAACTGGGCCTGGTTCTCAAGATGTCATTCTTAACCTCAGAACAGGGGAAAGCTGCTTCCCTTGGTTCCCACAGCTGAGATGATTTCATCAAGCTTAAAGACTGCACTGCACATGCTCACAGTTTGGTCCTCCCCCCACCCCCATTTTTTCTTTTAAACCAGGGCCAGCATAATTACCCTTAATTTATCAGAAAGTGTAGTATTGCACCGCCCTACTGAACAATTCCTCAATCCACAGCCATGGGTGGGTGGCAGAACTGCACAGTAACTGAGATCAAAGCTATCTAACTGCTCTGCCAGGCTGCTTCTGTGCCACATTGTGGTGGTCCCGTAACAGGTTATTATACACCTGGGAGTTGTAGTTCTGTAAGACACCTAAGGCAGCCTCTCCAACCTGCTTCTAAGCCTGTAGGGAGAAATGGCAGCAGGGAACTGGGGAGAGGACAAACTTGCTCAGGGGCCCTGGGGGGAGGTGTGTGGGCACTGGCATCCTGTTTGCCCACCTGGGGTTGAAGGGCCCCTTGGCCCCTGAGGTCAAGGCAAGACTCAGATCAGCAGCTGTGGTCCTTCAGAGGTGCCCCTGCCCACACCTGGCTGGCAGCAGAGGCTCCTGCAGCCATCGTGATGATCGGCAACTTGAGGCCTGATTATTTCCTCTTTCGGCTTTCCCAGCATGAGATGTGCCAACAGAGTGATTTAGTGGTAGATTTATGGCGGGAGCGTCTGATTTGTCCTACATGATGGAGCATGTCATGCAGTTGCTTTGCCGGCTGGGCTGAGGGACTCCCTCCACTCTGCACAAGACAAGAAGGGGGCTGGGGGCGCAGCCTGTGAAAATGCAGCCATTTGCACTGGAGGGAAAGCTGGGCTAGGGGTTGGCAGCTTCTCCTGCAGAAGATGGGCCTGCAGAGTGCTGGAAAGAGAGCTGACTCCATCTGCTGAGCCACATCGGGGAATCTGTGGGGGGCGCTGTGCAAGGCTAGAGGGGAGGGTGGGGCCAGGGCTGGGCAAGGCAAGGCCATTACAAGAGCAGAGCCTGGAAATGCCACCTTGCTTGGCGGAGGTTCTTCTGAATTGATGCCTCCGTCTTCTACCCCTCCCTGTGGCTTTCCTTGCAGGCCTCGGGGCATTCCTTTAGCCCATCCACCGAAGTCCTCCTCCTTCCTCACTCCATTTCCAGGGCAGCGCAGGGCCTTCGGACGGCTGCTCTGCCCACATTTTGCACCAGTGGAAGAGGCCTTCTCTTCAGTTCCTCTGGGCTGGCATCTCCAGCCTCCCTTGGGGCTCCTTATCACGTTAAGATGCTTCCTCTGCGAGGCCCCATAACTTGAGGTGCTGGAAACCCAGCGTGGAATCTTCTGCCAAGGGTTGCTGCAGGCCTCTGCCTCATCTGTTCCCAGAAAGCCTAGTTTCCTTTATTCCTCCCCATCCCTGGATATTTTTCCTAGCAGTGACTGAGAGGAGAGCTCCATCTTCTTCAGAAGGCAGCTGTTGCTCAGGTCTGGGCTCTCTGGAATTCCCATGTGCCCACCCAGCTCTATTTATAGATGGTGCCTGTTTCTCAAATCTTCCCCCTTCATCACAAGAGCAGCGCTTGCTCAGTGGAACATATTTGGTGCCTTCTCCCAACGTGGCAGGGAGGGACGATCAGGCCCTCCTGCTTGACTCATCCCTCCAGGTGGGCTGCATCCTTCCAATCTCTGAAAAGCAAGATTGCCACAAACAAGACTCAGCCTTCCTGCTCCTGGGATGAGGTCAAGGTGTCGCAAAAGCCCTGTACCCCCCACCTTCCCGTCTCCATGGGAAGGATAGGTCTCAACTGTCAGTAGCTATCCTTCCATTTACCCTCCCCGCCACCATCACAACTGATGAAGCTTCTTGGATGACAAGTGAAACATTTTGTTCTTCTTCCTGAAGGAAGCAAATATCCCAATTGCCTTTTGAAAAAGCACCTGGGGGCCATTCAGCCAGAGGCTCTCCAGACTTCTGGGTTCAGGTTTTCCTTCCTAGAGAGTGCTGTGGATATGGGGAAGCAGTGCTTTCCTGACCCAGATCCAAGAGGGCAGCCCCTCCCCTTTTCTTGACCCTTCCCATCCAAAGACTTGGCCAGGGCAGCTTGAAGGACAACCAGGGCAGAAGCAGCTCAGACTCGCAAACTCCTGTAGCTCAACTGGCTGGGCCAGGTTGGATCTGCATGGACTCCTGGATGTGTCAGACTGATGCTCGTGTGTGTGTGTCCCCATGTGTGTGTCCTGCCCGTGCTTTAAACCTGCACTAGACCTGCAAGCGAATCACATCACAGCTTAATGAGCTCTAAGGAGAGGCACCAGGGCCGGATTTTCCTATAGGCTAACTAGGCTTCAGCCTAGGGCCTCAAGATCAAGAGGGGCCTACATTCAAATTGTTAGCAAAATTAAAATTACACTTTCACTATAGGTGAAAGGGCCTCATAAGTGGAATAGCCTAGGGCCTCTTTTCATCTAAATCCGGCCCTGAGAGGCACCTATCAAGTGGCAATTTCCCCCTGTGCAAAAACACCCCTGGCAGAACATCTGGACTTTGGATGCTGTTTCTGGGCATGCCCGTTGGCAGGGAGGGGTGCTCGTCACACGGCCACTCTCCCCCCCCCCCCAGAGGCCAGCAAGGGCCTTCCTCCAATCCCTGCTTCCTGCTAAGGCCCAAGTGGACCAGAAACACAGGATCCCTCCCTCACCCCTGCCTGGGCAAGTGGAGGAGCTGGAAGGAGAGCAAGCGCCCAGCAGCTCCGTTTCCATCCTGCGGTCCAAAATTACAAGGCATCATATTTTGAAAGTGATGCTGACATTCCTCAGCCGGGAGGCAAAGCCAAAAACAACGCAAGCACAGCTTGTCTTGGCCCGGGTTCAAATCCAGGGCCTCAGCCAGTGAAACCAAAAACATTGACACAGCTGGATGCAAATCTGCCTGTTTCTCTCAGCTCCTCTTCTCACTCAGGCCACGGCTGGCCAGTCAAAGGCTCCAGTGTTCTCAGCCTCTCCCGGCCAGCCGATCTAGAGATGGACATGCACTAGGGAAATTGGGTGGTCTTTCTAGGGAAACCCCAACCCAAACAACCTTGGAAGGGGCTCCGGGAAGATAGAAATTAACCTGATCTAGAGGCTCATCCATCCACAGTCAATTTGCATGGGGAGAAATGTGGAAGCCTCATCAATTGGCGATATGGAAGTAATGGCTAATAAACGCTTTAACAAACCACAAAGGAAAACAGATGCAAAGGCCGGAAGAGCCAACCGACCAGCCAGCCAACCAGCGCTGCTCGCCTGCCAGAATTTTGCTAGGAGCTTCAGCTGCCCTGGGCCCCATGACGTCAGGCTGGTGGGACTTCTTAGGACAGGAGAGCTTGCTCCAGCCGGCTGCTTTTTGCATTCACATTTGCCCTTTCATCTGCAAGACAGAGGGGAAGGGGGAGCAGTGGGAGGGCAACCGGACCATTCCAGGGACAGCCTCAGAAGTCTTCATTTCAGGGCTGCAATGGAAGGGCTTCTCTGGGACTCACCAGGAGTGGGTTTGGCCTTTGGTTGGGGTCAGCTTTCTTTAAGGCGAGGAGGAGGAGGAGAGGTTGTTTCTGTGCAGCACCTGGATGGAGGGAAGTGAAAAAAACTGATAGGTGCACCTGGATGGAGGCCTTGAGGAGGGGGAATAGGCACAGAGATTTCAACCAGACGTCAATCTAAAGGCCAAACATTTTATGTGATGTTGATTGCTCTGAAGGGGGCCCACCTGTTCTTTCACCAAAGTTGCAGCTTCTGCTCTGCTGGGCCACCACAGCTTCCTGCTTCAACTCCAGCCTGGGGCCTCCCTGGTCGCTTCCGCTGGTCACATCTGCCCCAGGGCGGCCTTGCCCCATTGCTGCTTTGGCTGGGCCACTTCCTCTCCAGGTGCAGCTGGGGGCCTCCCTTCACGATGGCCTCCTCTCCCTTTGGGGTCTGTCCTCACAGTGGCTCTCTTGCCAGGGAGGAGCTGCCCCAGGCATCCCGTGGCCTAAAGCAGGATCACCACTGTTCCTTCTTGAGGCTCAGAAGCTCCCTTGTTCCTCCTGCGGAAGGAAGGAGAGCTGGGGGGGGAGAGAAAGGCTCTTTGCATGTGACAGCCTCCCCTTAAAATATGCCCTCCGTGACGGACAGCAACTGCTGAACTTCCAACAAAAGGCAAACGCTGCAGAGTCTCAGGGGAAGGAGCATTCAAATTGAAAACCTATGCAAACCAGGCCCTAATTTGCACACACTTTTTTGATTTGCTTTGTTATATTTTCTTGGAAGGAAGTTGGCTCCGTTCAGATGCTCCTTCTGAGCTGCAAAGGAACAGAGTAAGTTTTTTTAAAAAAGCTTAATGCCCCACTCTCCCTGCAGCCGATCTGGAAAGGTTTGCTTGTCTGGTACCAAAATGCCCCTTAATGCACCAGCCTCCTTTGTGGTGCATTTGCACTAAGCCAAAGCGGTTTCCACCCACAGATTTCTGTCCACAACCAAGTGGAAAATTCCAGTTTGAATGTCCCACCATCTTTCATTCTTCCAGGGAGAAGCCCCGAGAACAGCGCTGTTCTCCCAGGCTTGGAACTGAGAGCAGCCCTTAGCCTGGACTGGGGTAGCAAGGGCTCAGGGTTGGCACGGTGGCAAAGGAGAGTCTCTGGCACTTTCTGGGAAGGGGAACCCTCACGGTTCCTGGGCAAGGCACGTGCACTCTGGCAAAGGGTGCCCAGGAATGGTGCTGCAGCTGGCACTACTTTGCTGGGGGGGGGGGCACACTTACCGCTGCTGCTCTGGTCTGCATTAGCTCCAGATTGCCCAGGTCTGCTTTAAAAAGGGAAAAGAAGAAAAAAAGCTTTATGACTTCAAATAGAAAACTCTTTTGAAAAATAGAGTTTTATTCAAATTAACTTTTGTCCAAATGCTTTTGACAAGAAAATAGGTGACTGGGTTGAGAGAGCTTATCTTAGTTGGTGCAGAAGAAACCCATTACCCATACCCATGGCTTAGGGCCGGGGTATCTATGAGACCGCCTTCTGCCGCCAATAGCCTCCCACCGGCCAGTTCGCTCACACAGAGAGGGCCTCCTCAGGGTGCTGTCGGCCAGACAATGTCGGCTGGCGACCCCCAGGGGGAGAGCCTTCTCTGTGGTGGCACCTGCCCTCTGGAACAACCTACCCCCAGAGATACGCACGATACCAGACCTCCGGACTTTTCGTCGGGCCCTGAAAACACATCTATTCCATCTAGCCGGGCTGGCTTGACCCCATCCTTACGGTTTTAAATTTATAATTGGTTTTAATTGGGTTATTTTTAAATTGACGGCCAAAAGTATTTAATGTTTTTTAAATTGTTTTTAAATTTTATATGTTGTATTTTTACCATGGCTGTTCACCGCCCTGAGTCCTGTTGCAGAAGGGCGGTATACAAATTAAATAAATAAATAAAAAATAAATAAATTACACATCTGGGGGGGCGGGAGGTCCTGGGACTCCCGGTAAGAACTTTCTCCTCCCTTTGACCCAGGGGATGAGGCGGGGGGGGCAGCTGTCAAGGCTCAGGAGCCTCCAAAAAATGCACTTCATGGAGAGGGTCTTCAGCAGGACCAGGGAGCAAAGACACATTGGGTGCCAGCTCTTAACCTGTGGGTCTTCTGCCTGATGCCCGGGCAGCACAGCATTGCCCCCCTCTAGCCCCAGCTCCTCTTCCCCCGGGGAAGGGCCAGCAGTCCCTAAGCCCTTGAGTTGGCCCAGTGGCCATCTTGCTGGCCCGGTTGCTGCCGCTTCGCTTTGGAGTGCTATGACAAGAGACCCCTTTCGATGTGCCCATGAGCCCCTGAGCCCCCTCTAGACCACCCAACAGAGAACAGGCAGCCTCCCCTGCGATCTGACTGGCTGGCTTTGAGTTCTCAGTTCAGGGCCTCCAAGGCATTTTAGGAAAACATTCTTTTTAAAAAAGGCTGCAAATCAATGCCCTTTCCGAGACAAGCAGAGGGGTGAGGGCCTGTTCCCCAATATTACTCTGATATTGGAGCTGAGCTGGCCAAGGGCCCCCTGCACATCTGGGGCTTGAGTCGCGTGTCCTTTCTCCAGAGCCCCTAGAAAGGCTGCTTCCCGGGAGCCTGGATGGGGGCCTCACTCTGCTCCCCAGTCCCTTAACCAGGAAGAGCCAGCTGTCCTCGCTCTGCATCCCCCCTGGCAGAGCCCACCGCGGGGTCCTTCTCCCCTTCCCACTGACCTTCAGCAACTGAGCTTCACTGCTCCGTCTTCTTGGTGGGTGAACCAGTTTGACTATAGTTTGCTAAGTGGCTTTAGGCTATTTCTTCTGTTCAACTGAGAATGTCTTTCTTTCTATTTTGACTGATGCACCTCATCCAGAATCATATATTCTGAGCTGGGCAGCTTTACGCATCTCTTCAAGAAAGAAACAAATCAATAACCAGCGGCAGCAACCCTGGTGATTGTCTCCAACCTCCATCTGTGGATGCCGGGAGTGGGTGGAGGGGGGTCTAAGGGTCTCTGGGCTCCAGCAGTTATGTTGTGATGGCCTTTAGCCCCCAATCCCATGCCGGGCACCCAGGTGGGGTTTACCCAGCTATGAATCTCTCTCTGTCCAGGGCTCAGGTTGCAACCTGAGTTGTGACTCGGCGGCGATGGCAACTCTGCTCCCACTAGGAGGAGGTCTGTGGCCGGCCCTGGGCCGACTCTGCAGATGTGGCTGATGGCCCTTCCTGAGCCCTAGTCGCTCCCCTCCCCATCCTCCCCTCCCAGCAGCTGCACCCGACAGATGTCGCTCCACAAGCCCCACAGGAGCTCTTTCCCCACTTTGTGGTGGGGCACATTGTTGGGAAGCCACCGCGTTGGCTGCTGTGGGGTGGCACCTTCCTCACTGAAGAAGCACAAAAGGAGACGGCTCCACCACTAGCCTCCTCCTCCTCCTGGTCAAGGCTAAAACGAAGCTCCTCCAGAGCCCTAAACCAACGTTGACCCAGCCTGCTGCAAGGAATCAATGGAACAAAGGCTTTGTCCTCCACACTGGGGGGTGGGGTGGGGGGGTTGGGGGAGATGGGGGGGAGGGAAGCAGGCTTGTGAGTAATTAGCCAGTGATTTTGTGATCTCTTTGGAATCCTGATGCTGAGCCTTCCCTCCCTCAGAAAACACCAAGGGACAGAGAACGGCTGATCCTTTTCTTGCCCCCCTCCCCCTCCTCCCCCCCCCCACTTGAGGAAGGCTGCCTTCTCTCCCAGGAAATGGCTGACTTGAGCAGGAGGCTTCTTCACCCTTTTCCAGCAGCCATCCCCCCCCCCACCCCAAAGCAGCAGCATCAAGTCAGCCTCCAAATGACATGATTGCTGCCCCCCCCCACATTAGTATTCACCGCACATCTGACTCCAGAGAGGATTAATGGACTCTGATGCCTAATATCCTGGAGAACAATTAATTTGCCCACAGTTTTGTCATGGTTGAAAGTCAAATGCTGGAACCGATCGATGCTGGGAGAAGAGCGCTGCAACCTTCTGTTGGAGCTGAATTTTAATTTCCCCATCATTTCCTGCCATGCCCACACCAGCCCCCATCCCACGGTGGCTCTTTTGCCTTTTTTTCTAATGGATTTAAAAGCCTCTTTTTCCTTCTCACACATGACAAGTTGGGCTAACAAAAGTCTTTACAAAAACTAAGTGGGGGACGGACCCACAGATATTAGAGTCGCGCATGTGATGAAAGTGAAGCTGGACCAGGAAGGTTCTCTCTCTGCCCAGCTGGGCTGAATCCTTTGTGCTGTGACTGATGCCCAGAGATACTTCCCCCCCCACCCCCATTCTCCTTCATGCCCCAAAGACATGCTACAGCGGGGGAGATGTGCTTGGGGCTGCCCCTCTGTCAGGTCAGTGGGGTAGGTGGGGGATCAGGACCTCCTTCCTCCTACACACAAGAGTGGGACTCTAGCTGAGAAGCCCCCTGGGCCCAGCGGAGCCTACAGCGATGGTGGCAGCCCTGTCCCAACACACGCAAAGGAAAAGCCACATCTCTCGGGGAGGAAACCTTGGGCCGCTTTGCCCCCTGGCCACTTTCTCCTCATTCCCCCCATGGCTGGTCTGGTCTCCCACCTCCAGGCCAAATGTGAGGCTCGGACAAGCCCATCACTCGCTTGGCATTCCAAGTTCTTCCTCCTTTCTTGGGAAGCTGACTGACTCCAGCTTTGCCCCTGAAGTGGCCGGTCCCCAGAGGGACGTCTCAGAATCCAGGCCAGCATCGGGTCCTCTTTGGCTGGCCCACAAGCCCCAGGCCCAGGATCCTGGCCTTCTCGGGGCTGGGTTGTGCCTGTGCCAGAGACAGAGATGCAGCCCAGCCACACAATGGGAAGCCAAGGTTCCTCCCCCATCCTGATTTTAATTCCGGTCATGGAAGAGTTGCCTTTCCAGGTTGCAAGAAAGGAAGGCAGGCTTGGAAAAAGCTCCAGGCTCAGCACGGGGCAGCCTGTGGTGCACAAAGGCCGGTCAGTGGTCCTCAAGGGAGGAAGTTCTGAGTTCACATGTGCACAGTCCACGCGTGACCTCCTTCTGGTCTCCCTCCCCTCCCAAGGCGAATTATGCCTCCCATTGCCCTTGAATGGAAGCCTCTACTTCCTCCCACAAGCAGATGCAGAATAGGGTGCCCCTGATCTCCGGGCTTTGATTAAACGTCATAGCTGGGGAGCCCCTCCATAGATAATTCCTCCTGCCAGGAAGGGCTGCTTATTAGAGCCTCCTCCAGGATGAGGGACAGGAGGCCTGTCAGAGACACTTCAATTGCACACTCGGGTTCACACCCACCACCGCATAGGATTTGTGCATGGAGATGGGATGCCTTGAAGTGGGGGGGGGCAGGGAACAGGCCTCAGGCCAGATCCCCTTGACCTGGAGATGGAAGGGCTGGCCATAGTGTGTGTGTGTCTGTGTGTATCCGTGTGAACCAGGAGGACAAGAGGCAACATGGCAAGCAAAGGGTGCCCCCCTCCCCCTCCCGTGAAACTACAGCCTAAAATTGGAGTTGACTGGGCTCCATTATCCCATGGCTGCGCTGTTCAGTGTCCCCAGCAATCTTTTTGAGGCAAAACAAGCCTTTGGAAGCAGAGGTGACCCCAGGAGCGATAAGGGAAGAAGCTCACCTGAGAGGCTGTTATCAGCTGTTTGTGCCTGGCTGGGCCTCCAATGTCTCATTTCGATGCGAGGCGGCTGAAAATTGGATAGATACGGACTTCACCTCCAAGCAGGCTTCCCTTCCTTGTCTTCAAGGGTAACGGGATGAGGTTGTGCGAAGGGGGCTGGGGAGCCCAATTCGGCAGCCAGCACCTCTCTGTTATGGCTGGAGCCTGGCAAGGGGAAAGCAGGAGCCTGGCCTGGGCAGAGGTGGAGGGATAGCAAGGAGGATGGAGCTCCACAAGTTGGACGGAGGAGAGGGGTTGGGTCCTTCCACCCCGGTTTCAGCTTCATCCACCTGGCGGGTGGGAAAGAACTGGGTGGGGGGCGCCAAACATAACAGGGAGAAGTGACAACTGCCCTACCAAACCAATGGGACCCCATGCCCTTGTCAATTCCAGCTCCTTCAGCAGCAGCCCCTATTCTCCAGTCCCCCCTCCCAAGTGCTCTTTGCCTCTGGTCATTTGGCCCCCAACTCAGCTGACATGACGCTCTGAGGTGACCCCGGTCTTGGCCACCTGGTTTAGCTTCTCGGCAATTCTTAAATAATTCATCTTATTTCTGGGATACAAGTCCAGCAACCTTCTGTTTTCTCTCCCTTAGCTTCTCAACAGCTAATTGTATGAATTCTCCACTCTTCTGCATCTTCATCAAAGATGAAGTTTTAGCATATTTAGATTGCTAACTTTTCATTTAGTGATGAGTTCGTCCCCTTGAGCAGCAGGAAAACCTGGAGAGTTAATGGCTGAGCCACAAGAAACCCCTACCCAGTTTGACTCACAACTTGAAGTCTCATTGGCATGTCTGCCCACGTCCCCTGAAAAACCCTGTGCCAGAGCTCGTGCTGCTCGTTGCTTCGGTGGTGGGCACCGTCTCCGGCGGGGCTGAGGCTAGAACTGCTTGTGGTGGGCACCTTCTGCTCCACCCAGCCTCTGTGGCCCTGGCAGCCTCAGGAAGAAAAGGCTTCCCTCTCATTGCAGATGGTCTTTCTTTCTGCTGCAGTGCTGTAATTACAAAAGGCTGCCATAATTATTGAAACACAACTAGAAGTATTTCATTATTAAAATACCCCCCATGGCCCTTTATTAATTCATTAAATAAATTTGGTTTATAACTCTCAATAATTAATGGACTAAAGTTTACTCTGTAGATTCTTTCTTTTATTAGTAACGTGTCAGTTCTTGGTTTGAAATAGAAAAGAATAACGGGAGGCAGGAACCCAGCAGAATTTGCCCAGAAGGATCAGGAAAAGTGCCACTGAGGAAGTCGTGGCCAGGAGGCAGCCTTGAAGCAAGCAAGCTCTGCAGCCGAATCAGGAATAGAACTGGGGAATCTTTTCCAAATAATTTGCAATTTCTTATCCTCCCCACCCAACCCCGTAAAATTGGGGCAGATCATAGAGGTGGAAGAGTCAGCAATCGCTCTCATTTGCTTCTCCCCCAGAATTCCTGGATTGGAGGCCCCTGAGGTCTTTGCAGCTCTTTTTTGAAATGTGCCCCAAACTATCATCCTAAAGAACCACGACCAGCACTCCCGACCACACTGGAGGTGTGATGGGATCATGCAGAGAGGGACCTTTTGGGGAGGTGTCTGGTTCTTAATCTGGCGCTCTGAACTGACTCTGGAGCCATGTGGGCATTGCAAGTTCCCTCCCAATGTTTGGCAGCCAAGTGGAGGGTGTGCCCTGAGGTCTCCTCTGCCAAGCCCCACCTGCCTCGTTGCAGGCCGCCTTTCCTGTGAGGCTCTGCTCACATCAGCACAGAAACTGGGGAAAGGATCACAACACGGTGAGGTGGCACCTCTAAGGAGTCCCACAAAGGCTAATGAACATCCCCCAAGATTAAAACCAGGCAGTTTTTAATTGCCTGCTTATTGCAGCCAAAGCCAAAAAAATTCAGGAAAGCCCCTTCTGACTGGAAATGCTCCTTTGCCCTGCTTGTCAGCCACAGAAGCAGCTCTGGCAACTGGAGGCCACACCTGGAACCACGGCTGTCCATGCCACAGGCCGGCTAGAAACATCCCACTGCCACCCTTGAGGGTTAAACTGAGGAGGCCTTAACCTCCCTTCCTCCTTGGTGGGGCACAGCAAAGAGGGCTACTCCCTGCTTGGAAAAGTGGGATGCTTTCCTGCACCCCAGGACTTTGCTTCTTTACCCCAGCAAGTTCCAGGCAGAGGATTCCCATTTCCCAGCAGGTCGAGTCTAGGCCCGCCTGGCCCCAGGTTCAGTGGCCACTATGGGAGGTGGGTCACAGGTCTTCCTTCGGAGACTGGAGCTCCGTCCGGCAAATGAGTTTCTTAAGGTGGAATCTTGACGGACAGCAGGAGGAGGACTGGGAGGGATGGTGACCTCTGGTCCTGCAGGACGAGGGGCAGGGCTGGTGCAGGAGGATGCCCTCAACTGCCTGGTCTTCCGCATCACCATCGTGCCAGATGCTGACCCAGAGCAAAAGCTCCCCATCTCATCTCTGGGGCTGGAAGAGGCTGAGCCTCCTGTCACTGTGAAGGCAAACAGAGAGAGTTGAAAAGGTCACCAGGACCTAATGGATTGTCCTGGCGTTGCTCTCCCAGAGATTTGACCAAATAAGACAAGATTCAGAGCAGCTCCCCTCCATAAAGAGGGAGAGAAAAGAGCCTCTCCTCCCACCTGCCTCTGCTCGGCCAGAGGAGAGACCTCCCAGCCTCCAGTAGCCCCCACGGCAGCCCCTGCAGGTGGGTCTTCCTCAAAGGAGCCTTCCCTCCAGGCTGAGGGGGAGCCTGATTTTGCAGCCAGGGCCTCAGGAGGGGAGGAGGCCTTGGGGTGGGCCGCAGGACCCTTTCAAGCTTCTGAGAGCGCTTTTCTTCTTGCCTGGCAGAGGGGGTGTCTCAGGACAACCTCAAACCCCTCTGTGAACATTCGGTTCGTCCACAAGGTCCAAGCCAGGCAAAGGGCTGCCCCTTCCTTCTCTGCCGTGTGATTCTTCCTCCTGCCCCTTCCCCCCTTCCTCTGGCCAATTTGAGTGGAGGGGTGAAGGAGACCCAAGAGGGGCCATCTTTCTGGCCAGTGGCTACCGGAAGATGCAAGCCCCCCGGCCGGCAGTGTTGCTCCTGGGCTAAATCAGGGGTGGGCCTGTGAATCAGCCCATGCATGAATGCACAGCACAAGTATGTTCATGAAAACTCCCTGGAAAGGCCACAGTTAATTGCTTGCAAAATGACACGGGCTGCCCCTAGGAAGCTTCATTTCACCTCTTCAGGAACAAAATCCCCCCCTCCCTTGGTTGGTTCTGTTTGGCCTCAGCAAGGCCGTTCCCTAAGAGGAAGGCCCCCACACACGTAGAGGTTGCCTGGCAGGCTGGGGGGGGGGGGCGTGGTCTCCCGGCTCAGTCTGTCTGTCTTGGAACTCCTCTGCCCTTTGCTGAACTTGGCATTAGATCTGTCCTTGTGCTCCTCCCAGGAGGTGGGACAGCCTTGCCCTCTCAGACTGTGTCACTTCTGCTTGAGCGAGTTGGGGCTTTCCTGCGCACGAGATGCAGCCAAGCACTTGGGCTGGATCTGGGCTGTAGAAACTCTGTTTTTAGGTCCCTGGAGGCCCCTCAGGGGGTTCCCTTGCTTGCCTGCTGATACTCCTTTCAATTAACAGAGGTCTTCCTGCTCCAGCTCAACACTTGTGGAGCAACCTGGGAGAGAAGACCCTCTCCTGGCATGAGAAGAACGACCCTCTCCATGTCCCGATCAAGGTGGCCGGCCAATGGCCTCTTTCCAAAGGGGTCTCCTGGGACTCTGCCACCACGAAGTGCCAGTGGTTGGGTAGGGTTTTCCCCTTGGTCATTATTAACAGATGGAGAAGCTTCAGAACAAGTTTACAAGAAGCAAGTGGCAAAGCAAGGCAGCCGCCGGTGTTTAATGGACTGTGTTTGAAATATTGGAGTCTATGATAAGCCATTATGTAAATTACATTCATTGATGGCTCTGCTGTGAAATCGCTCTGCTAGGGGAAGAGCAGATAAACAGGGGGCTCTTTGGAGATGTCGCTTACTCATCCTCAAAATTGGGCAATGGGGGGGAGACACTTCTTCACGCCTATCCCTCACCTGAGCCAAGGAGCCACGATGGTGGCCGGTCACTCCTGGAGACGGACAGACTGTGGGACAGCCAAGCATCTGGGTCTCTTCAGAGCAGCTGCCCCTCCCTCAATCCATGGTGAAGTCTGTCGGGGGGCAAGCGATCCCCAATGTTGAGGCCGTTTGACTGCTCCAAGGGACAAGGGGCTCTCTTGGGGCTACCAAGCAGGAGAGCCCCAGCAACTGGGCAGGTCCCTGACAGGCCTCAGATGGGGTGGGGGAACCCTGCCCTCCTCCCTAGCGGCACATGCAGATCCAGATACGGGCCAGCAGAAAGCTTTGCAGCCAGGCCAATGGTTAGAAAAGGGAGGGCCAGAAAGTTTCTAGTTTCTAGAGTCTCGGCCAAGCAAGCTCCTTGAGAAAAAGGCCTCCCCTCCTCCGTGGAATGTCACGTCTCCCCCCTCCCAGGGCCCCAATAATAACTCTTGGAATTAAACCTGGTCAGGACCCCTCGGGCCTGTTTGCCTTGGCTTGTTTCTGCCAGACGTGGGAGTTATAAATAAACATTTTGCAAGGCTTGGAAATTCCTACTCCCTTGGCTGGTTCCCCCCAATTCCCAAACACTGCGCCCCTCCAGCTTATGAGACATAAACCACAGGCAGGACATGACTGCATGTGTGCGCACAACTCCTGCTCCAGAAATAGCGGATCTCTTCCCCGTCTGGCGGCTGTGCTGCTTTTCCTCCAGGTCCTCCGAGGCTTCTCTGCCTGTCCTTGGCAGCCGAGGTGCTCCGAAGAGTCCCCTGACCCTTTTCTGCACCTGCTAAGTGCTGGGCAGGGAGGTGTCAGCAGATATTGCTGGGGGGGGGAGGGGCAGGGAGGCCTGGGATTGAGGCTCAGACCTGGAAGGTTTAAAGGAGGAGGAGGACAACTGCCCCCCCCACCCCCGGCCTTTGTAAAAGGGTTCCTGGTCCTTCTCACGAAAGGGAGTCCCGCTGCTGGAGATTCAGGGGTCCTGGCCTGGCACTTGACTCCTGGGGTCACATCAGTCAGTCAGGCTCTCTTTCCTGTCCAGACCCAAAATGGCAAGAATGACCCTGCTGGCCTGGTTTAGCTGATAATGGGGGTGGGGGGGCATGAGAGACTTGCAGCAAGGGGGTGTTCTTTGTAAGCTCCCCAAGTGGCAGAGCTCATCCCTTGCTGGTCGCCATGGGCGTTTCCCACTGCTGGATCCATGGGTGTGCCCTCCCGAGAAATATTTTATTCATGGCTGCTTAGTTAGAGGAGTTTTTCCAGGGTTCCCAACTGAGAATGACCCAAAGTCCCTCAAGAGATGGAGTCGGTCCCAGAGAGCCAGACTGAGTTTGGCTTCTCAAAGCACGAGCGGTGCCAGCAGGGAACCCATTCCCACGCAAAGGAGGCAGGTGCCAGGCAAGGGCAGGGGCTCGGGTGGGAGTGGGCAGGGAAGGTCAAGGCTCCAAGTGGAAGCTTCGCCCCCCAAGGAGCTGCTGATCTTCTCTGTGCCTCTTCCTGCGGGTGGGGGGAGCATCTGCTAGAGGGCAATTATTAGAGGAGAGATCCTTTTATCTCAAAGACAGCATTTTGCTAATCTGATTACTTGTTAATTGCTCTAATTAAATCTGAACATATGGAGTTTTCTGAAAGGAGAACCTGAAATAGATTTTAGTCAGTAGATTCCTGTTGGCTTGCTGGAGAAGGAGACGGGGGGGGGGAGCCTTTCCTCTTTTTCTTTGGCAGACATTCCTTGGGAGTGCTGGGGCCCCAATCCTGTAGCCTGCCCTGCTCTCCAGTTTGGAAGGCCCCTGGTGAAGCCCGGCTCCCCCACCCCGAACCTGGAGTTCCAGGATTGGAGAACTGGGATCTTCCTACAATTCCCCACCTGCCCTTCTTTTTCCAAGTGGGCGACACAAATGAATGGCCCCAAGATCCAGAGGCAAGTGGCTTGGGAGAGAAGCCCCAAGAGGTGCCCACCTCTGCTTGCAGGAAGTTGTGCAGGGAAGGAATGGGGGAAGGGGAGGCTGGCAGGAGGATGGATGTAGCAACACTCTGATCAGTGGGAGAAGACCCCAGGGCTGAGGCAAAGCAGAGGCTCCCGCTCCCCGTTATATTGTTCTTATTTCCTGCCACCCTTTCTTTCTCTCTTGAGGCCTGTTAAACATTTGATACAATCTGGCCTGAGTGGGTGGGTGCCAAATCTTTTCAGGGATGGCTGCGCTGGTGCCTCCTCCCACCCCCTCCCCATGCTGCAGCATTGCTCATTCCCTCCACTCCAACAGGCCCACTTAGTTCAGTGCTCAGCTAGAAGCCATTTTGACTCTGCCTGGGCTCTTCTGCAGAGAAGGCATGAATGGGACGGGGTTGGAGCTGCTCTCAAGACAGGCAGTGGAGGGAGGGAGGGGCTACGGACACCGTCCAGGGTCTGTCCAGCCGCCACCAGCATGGCAGCCCTGGATTTCCGTAGGTGCCGGCCAGCTTCTTTCCTGTTTGCCTGCAGTCTCCAAGTCGCCTAGCAGAAGCAGAGGTAATTGTGAACAGATGCCCCCTCCTTCCGGTCTCCCACATCTGGCTCCCACAACCTCCCCCCACCAGAGCTTCCATACTGTGGGATGCAGCTGCCCTTCCCTGGTGCCAGCAGGCTTCTCAGGGACCTCCATGGTCCTCCCCCTCCTGCCCCCCCTGCATTGTCCCCACTTGGCTTGGGAGGGGGGAGGGAAGAGAAGACACCCACACCCTGCAGCTGCATGCAAGGAGTCTCCTGGAAGTTGAAGGAACCAGACTTGAGGGCTCCGTGCAACAGCCGGAGGCCTGAAGGATCTCAGCAGCCCAGAAAGGAAGATCTGAGCTCCTCCACTGTGGGAAGGAGGCAAGTGAGGCTGTGACCCCCCAGCACAAAGACCCCCCTGTGGCCACTCAGGACAAGAGTCAGTTGGAACATCAAAGCACTGGAATGGAAGAGCTGTTTTTTCTTGCTGGGAATAATTCCCAAAGCTTATTTTTGACCGTGTTGTGCTGCAGCTCATGAAAATAGACAGAAAAGGTTTCTGTTTCCTTTTCTTTCTGACTCGGTCATAAACCCGGCCGAGCAGGAGTGCGCAAGGTCTCCTGGCTGGCTTTGATGGACCAAAACCGGGTTTCTCCACTCCCAGCCTAGCACCTTCCCTCCGGGCCAGGGTGGCCCTCAGAAAATGACCTGCAACAGCCTCCATCAGGCTCCTGGGTGCTGACTGGGTTCAGTCTGAGTCTGGCCACCTGCTTGGGGCTGGCACTGGAGAAGCCTGGAGAGCCTCTTCCGTGTCCCAGATATGGTTCCTGGATCAGAAGGGCAGGTGGGGAGCCTTGGCTGGAAGGTGCCTTGTGTGGCTTCACTCTTGGCCACCACTGGTCCCCACTGGCTTATTCCCCTGCCATTCCAGGTGCTGGAGAGCCACTGAAGAG